AACGTGATGCTAATGCACAAAATGGGGTCAATGCTTACCCCGCTGGCAAGAAACGTGATGCTAATGCACAAAATGGGGTCAATGCTTACCCCGCTGGCAAGAAACGTGATGCTAATGCACAAAATGGGTACAATGCTTACCCCGCTGGCGGCAAGAAGCGTGATGCTAATGCACAATCTGGGTACAATGGTGGCCCCTAGAAGCGTGATGCTAATGCTCAGTATTGATTATTGAGTGACAGAGGAAGTCCACTATGTATTAGAATTATGCTCCTAGTGGAGATGCGAACACCGAAAACATCAATAAGCGATATTTTATTATCTAAAATTTCATATACAAATTACATGATCAGGATGAAAAATGAGAATCGATACATGTTCTTACGTTTATAGACGTTATTCAAAGAAGTTAAACAAACACCATATTTCATATGCACTATATTTCATAAACCACTGCATTGTATAAACTTATAGCATTTACGGCATTTTAATAAACTGTTTTTCATCATCAACAAATCCAAAATATACTGTATATACTATATATGTATATTATACTATGACGCGTTTGAAATTGCATTAAACAATTTCTGCTCAAAGATAGTTAATAATAAATTAAACACCATTTGTTTTTGGTGAATCCAAACATTTAATAATCATTGATTAAAGTGATACTTGCATATCGTTATAAATTAAGGATGTTAAGTAGTTTGACTGGAGCTAGTTCGAACTCAAACTATACAATTTAAATTGCAAAAAAAATTTTTTTTCGTGTTACTGGTCAACTCTCGATAATTGTAATTTTTAGTGGAACGGATTTTTTTTTCATGCCACAATTCTATAATTATTAATTGATGCATAACCATCCGTTTATCGAGAGTTGACCTGTAGTATTTCTAGGTCAATCGCAAAAATATTCGAAATTGATGCGATTTTCTGTAATTGGTTATATGAGTGTACCGTTAATACTTTAATCTGACGGTCTAAAATCGAAATACCCATGCGGAAAAAATCGCTGCTTTTTTGAGACGTTATATAATATGTCTCAAAATTATACAGTATATCAATTACATGCTCGCTTGAAGTATATAAAAGTTTATTTGAAATATATAAAGTTTATTTAGCTTAAAAAATATTTTTTATTAATAAATTTAATTAAAAAAATGATTATTAATAAATACAGTATATTTAATAATATTATAAAAAGCTATGTAGCATAGATAGACTCAGAAGTGGCATGTCACCATTGATGAGAATGGTACGAAATCCGAGCGGGTCTTTATATAGAAAAAGAGAAATTACGAATCTATGCATGTTCTTGGTAGAAATTTCTTTATACATTATAAACAAAGTGTTTTTTTCTATAAGTAAAGAACAAGCTTCTATCTTTGTGGTCATTTGCATCGTGTGAATGTATATTCACCTAGTATACAATGATCGCCATTTTTATAAACAGTTTAAAGAACTATTTGGAAAGCTACTCGGCATTAACGCCGTAATTGTAAATGCAATAATTATTCCTCCCAACCTTGATAATTTAGACAGGGCCTCATGTATGACATCCAAATTAATTATTTTTAACTGTTCTTCGGTTTTGGTATTTGTTCCTGTTAAATCATTTGACGCCATTAAATCCCGAAATTAGCTATAGGAACTGTCGATCCAAAGGTAGCTAAAAGACATTCAAACCAATTTTGGAAGACAGTTTCAATAAAATGATCGTCACGATAATTGCGTGTGCTGAATTTAATACTACAGGTAGATAGTACAAACTACTATATTTCGTGACTTTTAGTTTTACTTTTACAATGAATATTTATTAAATTCTTTTATTCGCGATTTTTCATCTGTTAATTGATGTAAAATGTTATATAAAAATATTGATTGGTTTAAGTTGACAAAGAATTGCTTATTTCAGAAATTCTGTTCGTTACAAACATGTTAAAGTATGTTAATAAATATTTAATTATAAACCAATAATTTGCTTTCTCCTTGTTTTGAAAGTTCTAATTCCATCCAGACAACATCTTTCCATGGTTATCCTAGCCTAAGTCGTTTTTGGCATTATACTGGATACAATATTGAAAGAAAAGGTAAGGTTTAGAGGGGTAATGATTTAATTCAAAATTCTACATCCAACAAAAACGCATAAAACACTTATTCATAAACACGTCATGACAAACTATTGTAACAGGGTAAGTTGGTACGCGATGTTGTCACGTGATCGATCGCCGCGAAAAACCCTGTTTCCGGTTGGCGGTCCAGATTATCTAATTATAGGGGAGGAAGGGATGAATTATGTAATATAACCGCTCTTATTACCTAGTACCTTAATGAAATAAACAATTCAAGTATAAAAAGAAAGAATGTAATGTTAACAAAAATCAATCAATCAATTGATTAATCCTCGGTCAAATAAACATGCCTCACACCACTTGTCTTGATTAACGGTTGCGCGAATTTTGTTAATCCTCAGCCGACGACTGCTACACCATCACATGCTAAAACTTAATATAATTAACGGTTTCTCACCAACTTTTAGAGAACAGAAAGTTCTAACTTCAACTTTATTCGATTCAATACTCTTGTTGTTTTTATTCATGTCTTTACAGTAAATTAAATAGACGAAATAAACTAATAGACCAATACACTGATATCTTCTGAATGCATGCTATAAATGCTATCATCTACTTAATAAATGTCTAATTAATTGATGCTATTCTTGCTATTCCAGGAATTTTCTAAATTACGACAATTATTTTGTGAATTATCGGTATGGATCTGTTTCTGGTACCGTTGAATTTTATAATATATCTTCAGACTATTCTGTGCATTGATATTTCCACCTTAAGATGATTTTTTGTACCAATAAAATGCTTTCTCACGGTTTCAAGTGATTCCGATTCCGTTTCGATAACGTCCAAGATTATACTGTCCAGTGATATTTCCACCTCCGGCCGATTTTGGGTACTAACAAAATGCTTTCTTTTTGTCTTTCGTTGCCCAAATTTCATGTTCATAACAATGTCAAGATTATTCCGTCCAGTGGTATCTCCACATTCGGTCGATTTTTGATGCCAATAAAATGCCTCCTCGTGGTTTTTAGTGGTTTTTAGTGGTTCCAGTTCCATTTTGATACAAAGTGCAAAAAATTCTGCCTAATTTTTGGTACCAATAGAATGCTTTTTTTTTTGTCTATCTTAGTTCCAATATTATATTTTCCACTGATATTTCCACTTTCGACCAATTTTTGGTACCAATAAAATGATTTCTCGCAGTTTTGAGTAGTTCCAATTCCGTTTTGATAACAATATCCAATATTATCCTGTCCTGTATATTTCCATCTTCTGTCAATTTTTGGTATCAATAAAATACCTTCTCGTGGTTTTAGTGATTCCCGTTCCATCTGCATAACAAAATGCAAGAAAATTCTGTCCGTCAATATCTCCATCTTCGGCCAATTTTCGGAACCAATAAAATGCGTTTTATATTCTTGAGAGGTCATGGTTCCTTCTCTGTTACATCTCCCATGACTTACTGTAATTGCCCATTGGGATTTCCACTTTTAGCAAATTTTTGAGACCATCCAAATGCTTTTTCGTAGTCTTGAGTAGTCCTGATTCTATTTTCGTAACACGCTCCAAGCTTATCTTGTCCATTGGTACTTTCATTTTTTGCTGATTTCAGATATCAATGAAATGCTTTCTTGTAGTTTTGAGTGATTCCAATTCCTTCCTCGTAACAATAACCAAGGATACTGTAAGGGGTAGGATAAAAAGTGTTATATTTGTGTACTTTTGTTAGGTGCCTCGATAATGTGGCAATAGATAATGTAAAAGGCCAATAATAATACGAGTATAGGAGGTCGTACGCGCCGCTTAACGAACAACGATACTGTAATATGTCACGTGATTGATCTACGCTGGATAGCGCGAGATCTGATCCTGGCACGACCAGTCAATATAATGACTGCGAGCGACGACAATGACATCTTTATGTAATAAAACTTAATCTTATTATTCCATATATTTAGTATGTTTAATTTATTTTATGTAATGTATAAAAAAGGAAGAAATGTCAAATCAATAAAGCGGTAATTTTTTTTTTGAAGTAAGAACTGAGTCTAATCGAACGTCTCAAATCATTTTACCAGTAACTGTTACGCGAATCTCTGTTGACATTATCGCCGTTTGCCCGTTACAATACTCTGATCCCAAGCATTTCCACTTTCTGCATATTCAACGTATAAAGAAAACTTTAAGGGATCCTAAATAAATTATTTGCAAATTGTATCATAATCATAAGTAATAAATAGTCATGGTATATGTTATAACTTAAATATTTCAGAGCAAAAAAAGTGCACTTTCCGTTCTATAATTTTAATTGATGAATACCAAAAATTATTAGGATTATATTATAATGTTTACAAAAAAAATAATCAAATAAACTTACTATTTCAATAATCGTATTCATTACACCATATTTTTTTACCCTATACATAGCTTTGTCAGCATGTTTAAGTAAGTCGTTAAAAGTTTCCACAAACGAGTTTACTCCAGATACTCCAATGCTAAGTGTAATAGGAAATTTCTTTCCATATTAATCAAATGTATGAATCTCGAATTTCTCAGTAAGTTTGAATGCCGAATCAACGCTAGAATTCTTAAGGAAAATAGTAAGTTCCTCTCCACCATATCGCGCAAAAATATCTTCAGGACGAATAAAAGTTTGAAAAATTTTAGCTAATTATATCAAAAGATATTCTCCAGCATCGTGGCTATTACCATCATTAATCCATTTAAAATGATCTATATCAAGAAACATTAAACTCAAATATTGCTTTTTTTTCTTTGCATTTTTAAATTCATCTTCCAAGCTTTTTAGTAAAAAGCCTTGTTGTAAATTGGTAAAGTTTATCACAGTGATTTTCATATTCTTGAGCAGGAAGATATTGAAAGATGTAATGTCCCATTTTAATTATGTCATCCTTTTCTCAAGTACGGCTTGTATGGAATGTAAGCTTCGCACCATTTAAAAAAATTCCTGATTTAGAGCCTAAATCAAAGATTTCAACTTTTTCTTGAAAATTTTTAATACTTACATGATTTTAGAAATTTCTTGATCTCTTACAATAACATCATTTGGATTATTTCTTCCAATAAATGTTTTGCCTAGAGGAATGAATAAGTTTATTTTGATGTTAA